CATTTTCTTCATCTTTGCAACCCCTAACAATGTTTGTTGACTCACCTCTCTCATCTCCTCTGGGCCCTCCTGCTTCTGAAAGAGATGCCAAAGCTCTTCAATTCATCGAAGACATGACAAGGAATGCTGATTCTGTTCAAGAGAAGGTTTTGGCTGAGATATTGAGCCGCAACGCTGACACCGAGTACCTCAGGCAGTTCAAGCTCAATGGAGCCACGGACCGCAATACCTTCAAGTCTAAGATCCCAGTTGTCTCTTATGACGATCTCCAGCCATATATCCAACGTATTGCCAATGGCGACAAGTCTAATATCTTTTGTGCTCACCCAATATCTGAATTCCTCACTAGGTAAGAGCTAACTGGTTTTTTTTTTTTTTTTTAATGAGTTTTGTTGCACTTTTTTTTTTAATGAATGGTTTATAATCTTGAATTGTGTAATTTGCAGTTCTGGCACTTCAGCTGGAGAAAGGAAATTGATGCCAACAATAGATGAAGAGCTAGATCGTCGTCAGCTGTTGTATAGTCTTCTTATGCCTGTGATGAACCTGTGAGTATATATATTTCAGGTAGCCTGAAAAAGGGAATTTATGGCTACGAACATGTTAATTTGTTGAAAACCGAGTTTGATATTTTTGTCTGTGTTTTGACAGCTACGTGCCAGATTTAGACAAAGGAAAAGCTCTTTCCTTTCTGTTTGTGAAAGCTGAAACAAAAACTCCGGGAGGACTTTTGGCCCGTCCTGTACTCACCAGCTACTACAGGAGTGAGCACTTCAAGAACAGGCCATATGATCCATACAATGTCTACACCAGCCCGAATGAGGCCATTCTCTGCATCGATTCCTTTCAGAGCATGTACACTCAGATGCTATGTGGCCTCCTCATGAGAGAGGAAGTCCTTAGAGTTGGTGCTGTCTTCGCGTCTGGCTTACTTAGAGCCATTCGTTTCCTCCAACTCAACTGGAAACAACTGGCTCATGACGTCAATACCGGAACTCTAAATGCCAAAATTACCGATGTTTCAATTCGGGAATGCATGAGCAAAATCTTGAGGCCAAATCCCGAACTTGCAGAGTTCATAACTAAGGAATGTTCGGGGGAGAACTGGGAAAGAATCATAACTAGGATATGGCCAAATACCAAGTATATTGAAGTGGTTATCACAGGAGCCATGGCTCAATACATTCCCACCCTGGAATATTACAGTGGAGGCTTGCCAATGGCGAGCCCCATGTATGCTTCGTCTGAGTGCTATTTTGGGCTTAACATCAAGCCAATGTGCAAGCCGTCTGAGGTCACTTACACGATCATGCCAAACATGGGTTACTTTGAGTTCCTCCCACATGATCCTTCAGCACCAGCTCTATCCTGTGACTCGCCTCCACGACTCGTTGATCTCGCTGACTTGAAAGTCGGAAAAGAGTATGAACTTATCATCACTACATACCCCGGACTTTACAGGTACCGAGTTGGTGACATCCTCCAGGTGACAGGATTCTACAACTCAGCTCCTCAATTCCGCTTCATTAGAAGAAAGAACGTGCTGTTAAGCATCGAATCCGACAAAACCGACGAAGCTGAGCTGCAAAAGGCCATTGAAAACGCTTCCGCATTGCTGAAGGAATTCAACACCAGCGTAGTCGAGTACACTAGCTACGCCGACACCAAGATCATCCCCGGTCACTACGTAATATACTGGGAATTGCTCATCAAAGACCCAACAAACTCCCCAACTGACGATGTCTTAAACCAGTGCTGTTTAGCCATGGAGGAGTCGCTAAACGCAGTGTATCGTCAGAGCCGTGTTGCTGACAACTCAATCGGACCCCTAGAGATCAGAGTAGTGAAAAACGGCACGTTTGAGGAGCTTATGGATTACGCAATCTCCAGGGGCGCATCCATAAACCAATACAAGGTGCCCAGGTGCGTCAACTCCACTCCCATCACGGAGCTGCTCGACTCCAGGGTAGTCTCCGTTCACTTCAGCCCAGCTCTGCCGCATTGGACCCCGGACCGACGGCATTGACTGCAAGACGACATGGGAACAATAAAAAAGGAAAAGCTCTTTATGTTGAATTTGTCTGTTTTTAGTAGTTTTTTTTACCTTTGAAAATTTGCAGGTCCTGTGGTACTGAGTAATAACTTGGTATGCAATAATGTCTGAATTTTCTGGTGTTTTGTCTGTCTATTATACATGGCAATTTGGCATTATCGTGCGTCTTCTTTCGCAGGAAAAAGACGTGAAAAGTTTAAGCCATGGACAGCATTTGTTTCATATGTTGGATTTGGTGTTAAAATTAATGTCTGTAAATTTTGTCAATGTTTCGGGGATTAATGTATTCTCGTTTTCATTTTCTGTGTATTTTATCCATATCTGCATGGATTTATGTAATTGTGTTGATGTTAACGTCATTTGTTTGTAATCATGTCTAAGGGTTTATACTAAAAGTATTGATGCAAACAGAACTGTGTGTGTTCTGGGGCATTTTGTGACAACCAATAGGAGTTCCAAAGCTCTGATTTTCTTACATTAATATTTACAAGTGTATTGTATGCTACTGGAAAATTATTCAAACAATCTAATCTCATCAGACTAATAGTATCACAATACTGCAGTTATAATAGTGATTGATCTCTTTCGTGAGATACGGGAATCGATATATATTTATTTATTTATTTTGTTAAGATATAATTATTTATTGAGTGAGATATATAAATCAATATACATTCATTTGTTTAATCTTATGTAATTATTATGAGATATAATTGTTTGTTTTAGATCCATGTGCTTTATTTCTAAATGTGATATGCCGTAAAGCCTAAAGGGCTAATAAAAAAATGTTGGTTTAGTTTAATACTTACATGGTTTTAGTGGGATGTAAGCCTAATGTAAGTTTG